CCTAGGGTTCATGGAGGCTGGATTTGTGACGACGATGAATAGAGGATCAAAATTTTAGTAGATTTTATTAAGTTTAATTGTTATAGACGTCTAGTAGGATTCCTTTTGTTTTCCTGTTGATTAGCCTTAGACGCTATGTTATTGCTTTGTATTCCTTTTGAAGGATTCTATTTAGATAATAATAAAAGATTTTGAGCTATAAATCTTTTCCCTATATTATGCAAGTACCATCGACTTCTGTGAATGAGATTAAATTTATGATGGTAAATAGGACTATGGCGCAAGCAAGGACAATTAGGGAATTAAAGCGAGAGATTGACGAGTTGAAGCAAGCCTTGGCTGCTCAGGCTATACCTCCAGCTCCACCAATCCCACCAGCATCGTTGATACCATTAGCATATCCACATTTACCGTCTATTCTGACGGTAGAACAGTTTCGCAGATATCGACCCCCTACCTTTGATGGCGAGAAAGACCCTCTAGCAACTAAAGAGTGGTTGCGTACTATTGAGAAGATCTTTCGGCACATCTCTTGTCCAGAAAATAAAAAAAGTATTATGCGCTAAGTTTATGTTAGTTGGAAGAGCAAGCCATTGGTGGGAATCCTCATCACGTACTCGCACCGAGGAGGAACAATATAATTTAACTTGGGACCAGTTCAAAATAGAGCTAAAAGAAAAGTTTTTCCCACAAGCTCTACGAGATTATAAGGAGGTAGACTTCTTAAGACTGGTACAGAGAGATATGAAAATTTTCAAGTATGAGAGCAAGTTCGAGGAATTGTCCCGATATGCTCCACATCTTGTAAGTATTGAGCTCATGAAGGCAAAACGTTACAAGAGGGGCCTGTGCCCAGAGATCAGGCAGATTGTGAGTTCACACGATCTCACTACTTTTCAGGCAGTTATGAAGAAAGCTCAAATAGTAACCTATTCGGGGGTGAAGTTGGTAAATCAGGGATAGTGTAATAACTTTGGAAAAAGGAAGTGGCAGAATAAGAATAAGAAATCTGAACAGTTTAAGAAGCAGACACTTGTGGGCCAGTCAAGTAATCTTCCATCCCAATGTCCTAAGTGTAACAAGTTTCACAGAGGGGAATGTCTGTATGGAAAGTATGCTTGCTATAAGTGTGTCCAACTTGACCATGTGGTTTCCTCATGTCCATCGATTAAGAAACTCAAACAAGAGAAGAAAGGAAAATCAAGGGTGTTTGCTCTGACTCACGACGAGGCTGCTCAAAATTCGGACGTAATCACGGGTATTTTATCCATCTCTGGTACTTCTATTTATGTCCTTATTGATTTCGGTGCAACACATTCGTTCATATCTAATATATGTCTAGTTAAGATTAATGCTTCATGTAAGAAGAATGATAATGTACTAGAGGTTAGTATGCCATCAGGAGGAATTATTGATACAAATAGGATAGCAATGGGGGTAAAAATAAATTTTGATGGACTGACGTTAGAGGCCGACTTGTACGTTATAGAGATGAAAGACTTTGATATTATTTTAGGCATGGATTGGTTAGGTAAAAATCGAGCCATGATAGTATATTTTGAGAAAGAGGTAATTTTTCAAAGATCGAGAAAAGAAGAATTCAGATTTTGTGGATTGAAGGTTAAGGCATTTCCTCATGTCATCTCAGTTTTGAAGGCAAAAAACATGTTGAGGAAGCCTGATTGCCAGGGGTATCTTTTCAATCTAATCAGCACCTCATCTCAAAAGAAAATATTGGATGATGTGCCAATAATATGGGAGTATGCTGACGTGTTTCCCGATGATCTACTGGGTATTCCGTCTGATA